CCTTTAAGGAATTCTTCTGAAGTGTCCAAATGGAATACAAACCTTACCAACAATAAAACTCAGGACAGATTCTATCCCAGCATCCATTATGCATGTTTTAAAAGGATTAAAGGGGCTAGGAGGCGCTTAGAATAATTAATAATTTACAAAATGATGAAGTGTGCAATAAGTGAAGATAACTCTGCTGTGGCTATTGAACTCTACACTACTTTTAAAACACATCAACAACAATTCGGAAAGATTTTGGAACTCACTGCATATCTTTTGCCTAATTCTTGTATTGCAGTGTGAACATCCATCTTCAAAGTATTCACACGGATAAAACGAGGCCTTGAAACACCTGAATTTGAAGATCAGAGTTGAATAGGTATAATAACTAAGGTCCGTTTGATAACCATAAAAATTAAGCTTGTAAACACTACTTCTACTCCTAAGTTTTTACATTTTGTATTCATTTCTACTCGTGTTTTAAAAAATCAAGTCAAGTTTTGATAACTACGAAAAATAGTTTTCGTTTTCAAAAAATTGTTCTGTTTTTAGAATTTGACTAAGAATGCGAGTAAAAAACAGAAAACTAAAAAGTAATCAAACCAGGCCTAAGCTAGTAGAATCAGCACAACAACAGAATCATAAAGAACACTTACCAGGATTATGACCACGGGCTATTAAGTCTTCAATATTATTTGCTTTTCTCTTTGACAAAAGCTGTGTAACCACAGATTGTAAAGCGCTTTGCTGCCGCATAAGAAACTTCTCTGCATCGCCAGCTAAAGGGGTTTTCTACGCATAGTTCCATAAAATATTGTCAATCAACACCAAATGTAAAATAAGCAAGCTGCAGCAGTCTCAGTAGCAGAAGTTTTTACATATTCACTAGACACATTATTGTAACAATAATTTATCCAAGGTATTGAAATACACGATCCGACCTCCAAACTCCCAGCGGACCCAGTAACTCTTGATGATATAAGTACTTCTAAACTCAAAGCCATGCCCATAGAGTTACTATTGAAGATGGACAAAACTGATTTCGAGTAAATAAATTTGAAAACATCTTGATGGTCGACACAGAATTTGAGCAACAATAAATCCACCCCCGCTTGTTCAACTATCATAAAACATTTTCGGAGTCGACCTTTGAATGATAAACTGATATTGTCTTGATCTAAGATTTATAAAATACCTGGCCTAGGAGGATATCATACATGATGACATAAATTAATTCCTTCTGCCTCTGCAACGATATTAGATTAATGTTATGGTATGTTTGTGGTAAGTGAGAAAGCTATCAAGACAGAATTATCCAAGACTTGAGAAATATGTATGAAGCAAATGAATTACAAAGAAGATGCAAGAGTACCTTCCATTTGTTGCTCAATAAATCAGCAGCCTCCAGTACTTCCTTGATTATAGGGAGGTCTAATAATACAACCAAAGCGAGAGAATTCAGAAAGCTACAAAATGAACCTTTTTAGTTATGCTACATCACCGCAGATATTACCACTGAAGGGCGAGGAAAGAGATGATTTACCGAGCTTGTCACATAATCATTCACATCAAATAAATAGGATTTCAATTTCCCAGATAATCTATTGCTACGCTATCAATCCAGTTCGAAGTTGTAGAGCAAAAACTGTTGCATTACAATATAGGCGGTTGAGGATGGTTGGTTGGGAGGGAGCCTGACCTTGGCTAATTTAGGGAATGATCTTGGGTTCAGAATTGAGGAATAAATCTCCATTGGAATGAAACTAACAGCAAAGTCACGAGAGATTATGCTCAAAGTGGACAATATCATACCATTGTGGAGATTCGTGATTCCTAACATGATATCATCAGAGTGCCCTTATTTTAATCATGTGAATAGAATCCTTAAATTTCGAACAAATGGTGTTCTTATTCGATGGCTCCAGAGAATGGAGTCGAACCTCATTTAAGGAGAGGCTATTCGAGACTACATAGCTTCAGGAGAGGCTCTATGGTATACTTTATTCGAGGGGAGGATTGCTAATGATGGTTGGAATTGTTCGGAGTCCCGCTATGACTAATTTAAAGAATGATTATGGGTTTATAATTAAGGAATACATCTCCAACATCATTGTTGGAGAAAGCAAAAGCAAACCCAAAGCAAACCCATGAAAGCTTAGGCTCAAAATGGACAATATATACATGATTCCTAACACTCCTATTCAATCGCAAAACAAAATGTTGAACTAAAACCAATATTTTCTTCTGATACCTACACGAGAATCGTTTGAAAATCCTTTTCAGCATTCATGGCGGGAAAGAGTCGTTGTTCAGAACTTACACTTGAGAGTCTTGCAAACAAGAGCGAATGTACCCTTCTTATTCCGAACAGACGGAGCATAAACGAGTGACTTAATGGAGGCGACGGCTCGACGTTGAGCATCACCCTCAAGAACACGCCGCAATATCTTCGCCGCCTCTCTCCTAGCGAAGTATGCCGAACGGTCCGCGTTGCTCATCCGCCGACTTTCTGATTTACCGGCGGTTCCCGCCACCGATGGCTTGGTTCTGGGGTTAACGCGCCCCATGGCTGCGCAGAAGGCACACTCCAAACTCCAATCGAGACCCTGTGAAGGTCGTTGAGCCCAATTGTGCTGTGAAATGACGTCGTATCATAGGGCAAAGTCCTGGGCATAAACCAGCGTGTTAAATTCCAATTAAGACCTCTTGTCTTGGGTGAAAATAATTATAATATTCTTTTGCGAAAATGACATGTTTTAATTAGGATTTATTAATTATACTCTAATGAAAATATTGTCGATTAAGAGTAAACTATTTTTTTCCAACTACTCAATGGATATATAATAAGGAATAAAAATATACAAAATAAATTGAATAAAAAAATCTATTATGGGTTCAAATTATTCTATTTATATATGAGAAAATAATATATTTAAAATTTTCAAATTTAAAGACACACATGCAAAGCCGTCTAAATAGACTTTTAAAATAATGGGAATTGTTAGACGAACACGGACTCTCCACAATAATATGATATTGTCCACTTTGAACATAAGCTTTCATGGCTCTGCTTTGTGCTCCCCCAAAATGTCTCACACTAATGGAGAGTGTATTATTTGATTATAAACCCATTATCATTCTCTAAATTAGCTGATGTGGGACTTTAAATGCCATGAGAGTTTATGCTCAAAGTGGACAATATCATACCATTGTGGAGAGTCGTGTTCGTTTAACATGGTATCAGAGTCGTGCCAATAGATTGGTCAATTCTCAAATATCGAACAAAGAACTCCAAAAGAAAATGAGTGGAGCCAAGCCTGGATTGAGGACAATATCTTACCATTGTGGAGAGTCGTGTTCGTCTAACATGGTATGAGAGTCGTGCCAATAGATTGGTAAATCTTCAAATATCGAATAAAGAACTCCAAAAGAAAAGGAGTGGAGCTAAACCAGGATTGAGGAGAGGTGACGAATGATGAAAGTCCCACTTTTTTTTTTTTTTTTTTTTATCTGAAAACAAAAATAAATTTT